CGTCAGTGGCAAAACCTCGTGTAATCAGTAAGTGAATGCGAACACTGGACATGTGTTGCCAGAAGGAGCGCTGAAAAGCCCTGTCTAGGAACTTTTTATTATTTGCCAGTGACTACTTGGGATGGGTTAAGTCACACATGTAAGCCTGACTTCTAAGAGCATTTTGAAACTATTTTAACATATCGAATGACGGTAAATGCAGGCTGAGTAGAAGAACATAACGGAAAACGAACCGTTAATATAGGCCAGTAAATAAAATAACAACAACAGATTAAAGCAGTCATTTATGGGATGCCCAACATATAAATTTCAGTATGCTAGCTCACCTAAAGTAGATGGGCTAACCCAAGAAATGTCAACCGAAATTCTGAAATGAGTTTTCGTTTCGAAAAGATTAATCAAGTAGTTTTGTAAAACTAGTCGGCCTGCAACATAATAATATAATATTGCAGTTACTTCAGGATGTCCGTTTTCGAATGAACTTCCTTCCGGCTGCATGCAAAAACTAAACTCTGTAAAAAATGACTGCATAAATAGCATGAATTTTTACCATTGATTTTCGATGCCCTTAAAAATTCAATTAGATTTCATGGAAAACATGCACAAAAATATTCATTCTTTTGCTCATTCGGCAGAAAATTACGTCTTCTCCCAGTCTTGTCCTCGAAGGAAGAGTATAATTCAATTTTCAAAAACCTTTCTAATTCCCGAGTAATTTTGAACCCGCTCTACCGTTACAATTTGATTCAGGGTTTCCAAACTACAAGTCGTATATTTTCCGCGTACGGAAAAGCACTCATTTATCTACGGTAATAAAGGGGGATCATATATGGTTCATAAAATTTAGCAGTGGATTTGAGCCATATTGTTAACTTTATAAGCCACATTGGTAAAGGCAGAGATATGACGATTTATGAACGGGCATTTTACGGTATTTAAGAATCCCACAATTAGAAACTTTTTAATACTGAATTACCTCCCTCTTTCGAGTACAAAATTAAAAGAAGACACAATTTCCTACCGAATAAGCAGAAGACTGAATATCATTACATATGTTTTCCATGAAATATAATTAGATTTTTTGAAGGCGTCGAAAATCAATGAGCAGTCGTTTTTTGCGGAGTGTAGTTTTTGCATGCAGCTGGACGGAAATTCATTCGAAAGCTGGCATCCTGAGTTAACTGAAATATTATAAAATTATGTTGCAAGCTGACTAGTTTTACAGCCCTGCTTAATTAATCTTTTCGAAACAAAGAGGCATTTCGGAATTTCGGTTGACATTTCATGAGTTAGCCCACCTACTGTAGTCGCTCGGCCGATACGTCAGGTGAAAGTAGGTAGAGCACGCGTAGAAATGATCCGAGTTGAGAATCGGAATCAAGTTTCTCTTTGGAGGTTGGAACATTACTTTCATAGATTTTTGCAGCAGACAGAGGGTCATTTTTCTGACTGAAAACAAGTTACTAACTTGTCTCCCTTAGATGGGCTAGATACTTGACCTTAAATGACACCTAAATCACGTTCTGTGCTTTTGAATCTCGTGGAGTCAGTCACAATTCTATCTTCCAGCATCATATGCAGGACATTGATAAAATAATTATGGAGCACGCAATGAGCCGTCGTGTACTTGAAAATCATTATTTACTTTCATGGAAGACAGGTTGGACCGAAAGCAAATAAACACGGCCTTTTCAGCCTGGGGGATGTGGAAGCATCAGGCTCTTCAAATTATGATTTTCCAGTCCTCAATATTGTTTGCTGGGAACTGGTGTCATCAAGAAGTCTTATTTGAAGTTCAGCGGTAGATTATGAACATGTAGTATTTCTCTTTCTGCTGAACTCGATTAATGTGCTAAGTGATTTTTCAGTAGCCACGAAAAAGACCTGGAAGTTTTATTTGACCTTATTTTGGAAAAAGATGAAGAGCGTGAGCATTCCGTCGTCAAAATGATTAGATGAAGCATCTTTTACAGAGAAGGTCTAATGTCAGAAATATGACATCTTATCGAGTGTATATAAGTCGCAGACTCTGGTGAAGTAAGTAAGATGCGTTCGGCGATGCAGCGCTACTATTTAAGATTGACTTTTCAATGCGACGCTGTCATCATCTATGGAAAAAGTCAGAGTACTAGCCAAATGGGAAAAAGCTTTCGAGAACTGTCCAATTTCAACATTTTTGATAAGCATAAAAAGCCTAAATCACATTTCTGACAACCAAGCAAACACAGCGAAGTGCTCACTGACTTTTCAAAGGCTTTCTAAGTCTACCGGAATTTTATCGAAGAGAATTTTGCAGGATGAGCCAGTGCTGCCTCAAATCGCGAAGATAGTGGACTCAAAGTTACACTTCCATCTCACATCACATTTTTTTCCAAAGTCACAGCCATCTCCGCATGCCGAATTGTTGGATCGCAGTGAAAAGTATAGATACTGTCCGCCACAATTTCCATCCTAAAGTTTCTTCGCAGCAGAGGCAGTATGCACAGCGGAAAGGAGGTTCGCTCTAAAAAATCTCCCTGTGCGTTATAAAATGTGTTTCTAGCATAGTCCCAACCACACTCATCCGATTTAATATGTTTCAATGCAACGAAACCGTCAAAGATGAACATGGCTTTGCCGTTGCTTCATTGCAACGGCTACATTTGCTAACCCACTGTTTACAACTCTTTGCACTTCAGAGGGCTAGCGTATATTCTGGTAGTTTACCAAAATGTACGTGTATAAATACTTGTAAATATACACAGGTACAGAAACCTACATTTTAATTTTGAATTTTGAGATGGATAGGAATGGCTGACGACGCCTGAAGCGGCCGAGGACGTCAAGAATAGCACACACCAAAGTAACGGAACATTGGGGAGAGATCCTGGCTAAGGTCGATTTGAATAGGGTCGTTAACAACTTCAACCTCAACTAGGCGATAAGGTATAATGCAAAGAGATGTGAATTGGCAATACGTATAATAATAATAAATTGTACAAGCAGCATGAGTTATTACAGTGGAGTGGATTGTCTGTCTGAAGAGGCGACACCTGAGAGTTCAACCGTTGATTTCGACGATGTCAACCGTGTGCCCCACAGATGCAGCTGCAACGGTGGGAGCAGGGACGGTGACTTGCGCAGGGGTTTATAGTGCTGCTAGACTTGCGCTGCATCTAACTGCACTCTCTCCTCCTCCCCCTCCTGATCCCGGTGTCAAGACAGATTAAAGAAGACCGGAGGCGAGGGAGGCCGCAGGTGGATGGCTCGGACGGATCCTCACCTTGGCGTTACACCACATCCCCTGGTCCACACAACAAATGACCAGGATTTCAACCAACACAACAGAGATTTGGAAGCTGGCACGGCCGAAGCCGCACCTAGGCGTGCCGCCAACGCCCGACTCGGATCCTACACTGTGGTGGGAGTACCATAAAGGCCACATTTAAAAGGAGTCATTGCAGCCTGATTCTCAGGCCTCCACCAGTGCAGGAGGAGGTCCAAGTTACCCCGTCAGTTGGCAACCTTCCAAGCCACGGCTTTTAGCGCACCGTGATATCTTCAAGCGCGTCAGATTGTTTATAGTGAGGAAAGTGCGCTGAGTCGTCGACCTCACTCTCCATTCCAACTCCCACACCCCAGCCGCTGCCCGAGCTGGTCAGCAAACTGGAGTGGGGAATGGGCGCGGTGGCTGACACGGTCGACTGACCATGCTTGCGCGCGCCACAGCACGACCTGGCCCCCCATACACACACAAATACTAGGGTTTCACACAAGGGGGGTTGAACGGCGTGTCTCTCACTTGTGTGAGAGGGCCGTGGAAGGTACTGCTTCAGCTCGTCCTCGTCCCACCAGTCCGTCACTCCAGGCAACACACACACACAACGCGACGAACTGCGTAAACCGAGAGCGGGCGTCAATCAGCAACCTTCCTGTCCACGACGCTCGACATGTCGGGATAGTCTCAGACTCAGGTCACTCGTGCAGCCGAAGCCGCATGGGGACCGAATCGAGATGTACACTTCCCACTTGCGTGGAAGGTGGCAGTTGGTGCATGCGTGGGCGAGTGTTGATGTGAGTTGGTGATGGTGGAGGAGGGTAGGGAGTGTGTGGATGTGTGGTGTAACCGGCGGTTGTCTACCGCAGGTCGTCGTGGATGCGCATGTGGCCGAATAGACCCACGCGATGCGTGAAAGTGCGAGGGCAGTGTGGGCAGTGGAGGCGAATGCGGTGGGTGTAGGTTGGTGCTCCAGGCTCTGGTTAGCCAGTCTCTGTGCGATGTAATTACAAGTGACCTACCAGGCCGATGCGTGAGGTGAATGTGCGTGGACAGTGTGGGCAGGTGAAGTCGGTAGTTTTGGTGTCAGTTGTAGGAAGTGCGGTGGTGGTGCTGGGTAATTAAGTGGGGGTGGGGTTCGGCATGATGGATGAGTCGGTATTGCGGTCAATTCCGCTCTCGTGAATGCGCATGTGGCCCAATACACCCATGCGATGCGTGAATGTGCGAGGGCAGTGTGGGCGGTGGAGGCGAGTGCGATGGGTGTAGGTTGGTGCACCAGGCACTGGTTCGCCAATCTCTGTGCGATGGATTCGCAAGTGACCGACCAGGCCGATGTGTGAGATGAAGGTGCGGTCGCAGTGAGGGCAGCTGTAGTCCTGATCCTCATCGCTGGAGTCGAAGACAGTAGATGTATTGTCGGTTGTTGCGTGAGTGACAGTCGTCTGAGCAGCCTTCACAAGGGCAGTGGTGGTGGAGGAGGAGGGGGAGGTTAGGGGTGGCGGGGCAGTGGAGTAGTCAGAGGTAGTTGACGGCGGAGAGGACGAGGAATGTGCGGGCGGGGGAACGATGGTTGGTGCAGTTCGAGGGACGCAGTTGATCCGCAGATGTCCAACAAGTCTGATGCGAGCCCGGAATGTTCGTTGGCATCGAGGACACGTTGGAAGCGGTTGTGCGGCGGCGTTGCGTACTGGGCGAATATGGGACTTGCGGTCTTCGCGTTTCGTTTTGGAGGCAGCGATGCGGTTGGCTTCGTAGACCGCAGCGCCTGTCTTTACTGTCCTCCTCCATGTCGGTCGATCGAGTGCGAGCTCTTCCCAGTTGGCCGTGTTATTTGCAGACAGTTCAGAGTGGACTTCAGGGTATCCTTGTTACGCCGAATTTGGCCTCCTTGACGGCGAGAACCCGTCGCGACGTCTCCGTTGAAGAGTCGTTTGGGTAGTCGTCCGTCGTCCTTGCGCACCAGATAGCCGCTCCAGCGCAACTGCGTTTGTCTCAGCATGGTGTAGATGCTGACGATTCCGGTCCGTTCCAACATATCGGTGTCGGGGATGCGGTCCTGCCAGTTCAGCCTCAGGATGCGACGAAGACAACTGAGGTGGAAGTGGTTCAGACGGCGAGCCTGCTTTGTGTACACCGTCCAGGTCTCCGCGCCATACAGTAGCGTCGGCAGGATGACGGCCTTGTACATCTTCAGCTTCGTGCTCAAATGAAGACCATGACGATTGCAAACTGTGCTTTGGAAGGCTTGGCTGGCTTTCGAGATCCTGTTGGCGACTTCGTCATCGATCTTCGTGTTGCATGAGAGGGTAATGACCAGGTACGGGAAGTTCTCCACCACTTGCAGTTGGATCCCAGTCACGCTGTTTTGCGGCGCGTTGGTGGGAATGGCGGAGTTGGGTGGCGGTTGATGCATCACCACCGTCTTCTGTGTGTTGACGATCAGACCGAAGTTTTCGCAGGGGACGGAGAACAGGTCCATGCTACGTTGCATCTCCTTTTCCGAGGTGGTGTTCAGGGCGCAGTCGTCAGCGAAGAGAAGTTCGTGAGCGGTTGTTGTGGATACGCGCGATTGGAAGTGCATCCGTCGTTGATTCAAGAGTTAACCATCCGTCCTGTAGGCGATGCGGATCCCGGGGTGCTCATCACGATAGGGGTACGTCAGCATGGCAGAGAACATAAGACTGAAGAAGGTAGGCGCCAGCATGCACCCCTGCTTCACTCCATTGGTCACTGCGAATGCCTTTGAGACGGCTCCGTTGTCCGTGATTTGCGCTATCATACCGTCGTGCAGCTGACGTACCATCTGAGTGAATCGCTCCGGACAGCCGAATTTCTACATGACCTTCCACAGTCCTTTACGATTCACCGTGTCGAAGGCTTTCGTCAGGTCCACGAAGCTATAGTACAGGTGAGTCCGCATCTCCTGGCACTTCTCCTGAAGTTGACAAGCAGCGAAGATCGTATCCGTGGTCCCACGATGACGACGGAAGCCGCATTGGCTTTCCGGCAAAAGGCCCTGTTCGAGATGGTTATTGAGGCGGTTGAGACGGATGCGAGCGAAGATCTCCCCGGCGATGTTCAGCAAGGAGATGCCGCGGTGATTATCGTAGATTTGGCGGTTCCCTTTTCGCTTGTATAGGTGCACGATTGTTGCGTCCTAGAAATCTTGCGGTACTTTGCCTTGACGCCACATCTCCTGGAAGAGCGCAGTCAGGCGGTCCATGAGTTGGGGACCTCCGTGCTTGTAGACCTCAGCAGGAATTGCGTCCGACCCGGGTGCCTTCCCGCTGGAGAGCTGCTGCACGGCCCTGATGGTTTCCTGGAGAGATGGTGGGAGGTTGAGGTCCATGTTGGTCTCCACTTGCGGCAGCATCGGAGATGGCGGAGGGGCGATTGAGGACGCCTCGGAAATGCTCGGCCCATCGCTGTAGAATTTGCGTCCTCTCAGTCAGGAGAGTGCTACCGTCGGCGCTGAGGAGAGGAGCAGTGCCCTTCGTCGGCGGACCATAGACAGCTTTGATCGCAGAGAAGAGGTTCTTCCACTCGTTGCGGTCCGCGTAGCCTTGGATCTCCTCAGCTTTGCGAGCAGTTCAGCTGTCCTGCATCTCGCGAAGTCGTTGTTGAAGCTGGCGGCGACTGCGGCAGAAAGCAGCTTTGTTATCCTCAGTGGGGTGATCTACGTAGTCTTTATGTAGGCGGTTCTTCTCAGAAAGCAGATTTCTTATTGCGGCGCCGTTGTCGTCGAACCAGTCCTGTTGTTGGCTGGAAGCGCGACACCTACATGCTAATTAATTAACCGATGGGAATGTAGCGCTGTGGACAACTGCAGGGGAGGGCCGAGGGAGTTGCTGGCGTAGAGGGAGAGAGAGAACGATGCGAACGTAACGGTAAGTTGCTCGAAAGGGGTCGGCGGAATTGAGAGGAAGGGACACTGGCCATCTTCACTAGCACGCATTTACCCCATCACCATCCTAAGTCCGCGCGCGAAAAAGTGTTTCTTCATTCAAACAACCCTAGAGAGCTCGAAGGGAGTTACATGCATGTTAAGTCGGAGGTAAGATTTCCCAAAGACGCCACCGATTTTGCGCCGCACAATGAACTTTTAGACGGGACGCTAATTATTTATGCTTAAAGATTGAACGCCGTGCAGAGGAGACGTTCATAGTTTAATGAACAATTTTGTGCTTGATAATTTTTTGCTTATGCCGTTCACTGTTAGGTATAAAGATATAAAGCCAATGGCTATGAGTCAGGTTTCTACATTTAGCTACGCAAAAGGTTATCAACCTTAACATACCTACCGTCTCACTCGTCTTTTACGAAAGGCATCTGCCTTCCTCTTAAAACGTCCGCTGGACACGTTTAATAAAGTGGTCTTGACATTTGTTTCTGCGGTTCGCATCACAAAATTATGCCGTACTCAGATATCTTTAGAAGAGCACTTTCGCATTTATTGCTTCAAAGGCCTATGAAAGCTCGGTTTAAGTGATTAGTCATCGCAGATAGCTGGCTTTTGGTCTGTTTAATTCGAAAAATGAAACTCAATCGCAACACACTATGCAAGACACTGCACTGTGTAGGTTTAAACGACGAAAGTTGCGAAATTTGTTTTAGGATCAGTTTTGACCCATCTTTTGTGATGAGACAGGGAAAACGGTCACATATCTCCTCCTGAATTCCCGCAATTCTAAAACCTCTTTGCTGTTAAGTAATAAGAGAAGAATTCAAACAAAATGGTAAAAAGGCTTTTTTACCAGTTTTGATCCCAAAAGTTGAGCTGCAGGATATGGCAAGTAATTCGGTTTTTTTTCCAAGCTAAAATCCTACAGTGATCTTCGAACTTCTCAGAAAATAAAATATAATTCTGTACCTTGAAAAGGAAAAATATGACAAAGGCTCTTGGACGCTCGGGATAATGGAATTACCGTGATGACCTCGTTATTTGCTGAACAAAACGTCTGCGCTTTTACACGGGAACATTATTAAATTTATAACAATCGGTCTGAGAACCGTAGGAAATTATTTGTTGGAGTTTATGTTGGGGGACTTGCTGGTTATGAAGTTTAAGCCTTAAAGTCGGCGACCAGTCGTATGAAATGCTAACCATGATCTCGAAATTCGTTTTATTTAGGATGGGTCGCTTTAAGTGGGGTTGTAATACTGACTACCACTAAGCGAATTCCGAGGCAGTTTAGTTATGAGAAGGTAGAGGTTTTTGATTGAAACTCTTTCCAATCTCCTGCAAACACATATAAAAGTTATTTTTGGGTAAAATGTGTTTTTCCACGCCTTTTTGATACGTTTTTAAATGCACATAGCTTTTATGGAAAATATAATAAAAATATACCTTATTATATTCATTTTGCAGCAAAAGATATCTCGTCAAAGAACGTGTGTGTACTGATATCAATAATTTTTAGAGACGATATTTTCTAATATTTTTTAATTGCTATCTTAAGTTTCGTCGTAAACATTCCTTTATTAACGTTCTATATGAAGTATGTAGCATGGTTCAAATCGATCGTAGTGTTTTGTGAGCCATGGTTTGCAACTTTTGATTGCATGCGTGAATGGTGGTTTCCTCTTTACTTGAAAATAATGCAGCTTGTCCAATGTATACCTCAAAAACATATGTTACGACTGATTGGATTCTAAATTATTTGATCATCGGAAAACTTTTAAAATCATACTATTTCCCCTCTGTTAGTATAATGCTTGCAGAAGACAGCATTTCTATCCAGTGCCCATGGCAGGCCATATTTCTGGTTAAGTATTAATGTTATGTTAGGACATCGGATACAGTAAAAAAACTAACGCTATTCAAATAACAATTTTTATCTTATGCGGTGGGAAAAGAAGGCTTTTAAACGTTGACTGATTTATCCTGTGATTATGCTTTACGTCATTTTGTACCAAAACATCACTTAAATAATCATTCCTAATTAAAACTGCCATTCAGAATTGCGGTCAAGATTCCATTAGATTGGTCAGTGATTGTATTTACTGGTTGCAACTGCATTTGGTCAAGTGGAGGGACTACTGGCGGGTCCGTGTAAATTTTTTGGATGGCGCAGTCTTCCCCTATTTCTGTGGGGTTTGTCATATTATTCTGACTTGTACATTTCACAGGCGAATGAGGGTAGCGGATGACATTGGGGTAGGAAGGCGAAAAACACCGTTTTATTCAATTTTCTGGACTACATGACTAACCCTGTCGTCCGTTGAAAATTTTTTGAATAAATATATACAACGCCTCTGACATCTATCTGTCATGCGCAATGATGAAACACGTACAGTATATGTGCTAACTTATGAAATATCAACCAAAATTTCGAAATGCGTTCTCGTTTTGAAAAGGTAATTTAAATAGTGTTGTAAAACTAATCATGATGCAGCATAATTCTATAATTATCCAGTTATTTCAAGGTGCCGGCTTTCGAAAGAAATTATTTTCAGCTGCATGCAGGATCTATACTCTGCAAAAAATGACTACATAAGTAGTATGCAATTTTCTCATTAATTTTCGATGACCTTGAAAATTTATTTATATTTCATGGAAAGCATGCATAAAAATATTCATTCTTTTACTTAGTCGGCAGAACATCACATCTTCTTCCAGTGTCATACTCAAAAGAACAGTATCATTCGGTTTTAAAAAAGTTTCTAACTGCGAGATTTTTTAATACCGTTAAATGGCCGTTCATGAAGCGTCATGTATCTGCATATACGCATGTGGCTTGTAAAGTTAACAATATTGCCCAAATCCACTGCTTAATTTTATGAACCTCATATGGTCTCCTCTTGACACCGTAGAGAAATGCATGGTATTCCGTACATGGAAAATATGCCGCTTGTTGTTTTGAAGCCCTGAATGCAAGTGTAACAGCAGGTCGGGTTCAAAATTATTCGGGAATTAGAAAAGTTTTTTAAAACCGAATTATACTCTTCTTTTGAGTATGAAATTGAAAGACGACGTGATTTTCCACCGAATAAGTAAAAGAATGAATATTTTTATGCATGCTTTCCATAAAATATGATTGAATTTTCACAGGGCATCGAAAATCAATGAGAAAATTGCATGCTTCTTATGTAGTCATTTTTGCAGTGTATAGGTTTTGCATGCAGCCGAAAATAAATTCTTTCGAAAGCCGACACCCTGAGGTAACTGGATCATTATAGATTTATGCTGCATCATGATTAGTTTTACAACACCACTTAAATTACCTTTTCAAAACGAGAACGCATTTCGAAATTTTGGTTGACATTTCATGAGTTAGCACATCTACTGTAGCTGGGTGTAATACCGTGCATTGTCGGACAGAACGTTCGGTAAATTACACCCTTAGAGCGATTGCAGATCGAACCTCCTTCCGACGCTGGTGTAAATGCTCATGAAGATAATTAGCTGATCTCGTTGTCAGTCAGTTCCCTCTTAAACGGCCAGGTGTCCCATGGATCGCTACGACGATTTTGAAGCCATTTATGCAAAAAATCTACATTTTGTTATGACGCATGCACAACGCCAAATACTGCAATGAAATGCGGTAATTACTTCACTACGACAAAGAAGACATGAAAATAACAGCGTAGCGCACATTACCATTCTCTCGCGGATGCAACGTTTTACTGTTTCATTTACCGCAGTAATTCCAACTTTTCCCCTATAGGCAGTTATATCCCCAGCTGCAAGTATTCAGATGTGAGTTGAGGCTAGTATTTTGTCCTGTTGACGTATTTACTTTTCTAAAACGCCAGAATATCTGAAACGTCAGGTGTACAGATAATCCGGATATGATATTTGTGACCATATTGTCGCACAAAAAGTTATACTTTCTTATTTGGGGTGTGGCGGCACGCGTAACAGCGGTCTCGGGCAGAGCCAATCACCTGCGCCCGATCCTGTCTCTGGTCTTGCTGACTGTGTTCTGACATCGGAACCAGGTGAGCGAGGAGAAGAGGGTGCGGTAAATGTAGCGCAAGTCTGCCATAACTACAAACTAGTTAACACGCGAGTCACCGTCTCTACAGTCACCATGCTGACAGTCGTATTGTGACCTCAACCCCTATAAACAGAGAAGTCTGGCAGTGCGGAACCACTCGCTGCCCTCGTTTTCAATTTTAAACATAACAAGTGTTTAACAGGACTGTAATTGCTGCGACAGTAGTAGACTCTTCGAAATTCAGCTGCCGAGCAGATGCGGCGGGCCACAAGAATTCGTACAATAAGAAGTGGACGCCGGACGTTTCGGATTCACGGTCGAACACATCATCAGAGACGTTATCGGATAAAGGTGATGGATTCTGTCTTCGATTGTCTGCTCGGGTCTGAATCTGGACTGCCAGGCGCATGGAACACTCGCTCCAGTGATCTGG